CTCTTTTGTGCCCGTTTAATTATTATAAGGGAAAGTGTAAAGTGGAGGTCATTGTTAAAAGAGAAATGTCACCTCAATTCTTAGGTCCACTGACACAAAATTGTACACAGAACTGATTAAAGTGGACTCCTCCATAGTTTATCCCCTGCCCCAGCAAAGGACAAGACAGGACAGCCGCCTGGTCAGACCGCGCCCATCTCTTTGTGCTTTGACACATAACTCAATTTATTTATGTCTTCACTGTCATGGTGTCCTGTTGCCCAGTCAGTTTACCCTCTGCCCGTGTGCCAAGAATGCAAAACAATTTTTCCTGCCCTTTTCAGAGACATTTTAATCTTGGCTCGGAGCCAGAATGAAATTGCGTTCCCGTTTGCGGAAGAGCCTCGACTGGACGTTGAAATAATATCGAAATAACAGTGAGGTAATGCCATGCCAAGGTCATGGCTCTTTCCCTCCTGTCCTTCAGTCATCACACTGGATAAATGCGTTAGAATGCAAATCGCCACTTATGGAATGGACCTGGAATGCACGGTGCTGCCCTGTGTGACTGCAACGGAATTTGCCATAGAATAAACATCTTAAAATGCATTTATTCCAGATCGGAGGTCTTCGCAAATGATTTGTGTGGCCATTGACAGATTATGAAGAGCCTTATGTGGTTCGCATTAATGTAGTTTGGAAGTGTGCTGCTATGTATGTATGTAATCAACAATGACTCAGAAGAGACATAAGCCTCACTTTTCCCACCTGGATAATCCCCACCGTCCACTATAAGTAATGCGAGTGTTGTTGAGGGATTAATCATGGCTGCTGTGTATTGAAAGCCAATCACCAGGCTCAGTGTGGACGTGTGAGGTGGGACAGCTTGTGAGATTCTCACAATTCCAGGTGACAGTATCAGTTTTAACTCTAGGCCCTACGAGCATTTGTGTTTATTTCTAGAAATAAACAAAAAACATGCAGTCCAGCTAGCTGTCCAGAGCTAAAGAAAATTTATTATGACCACACGGGCTGTTAAACCTGATGTGGCTGAGTTTAGCGTGTGCTATAAAGCAGTTCTGAGCAGCTTAAAAGCCTTCATCACTCCCCATGTTTAGCGACAAGAGTTCACCAATAAGATGTTTTCATTTTTTTAAGATGATGGTTAAAACAACGCTGTCCTGCGCTGCTCACTGCTGTACAGAGCCAGTTCAGGGTTGCCAGACTGAGTAGAATCAAGATTTAATGCAACTTGCTAGAAAATAATAATTTAACAGAGGTTTTTTTTTTTCATTACTTTGTAATATTTCAGTTAAGATGTAAGTACAATTTACGCAAAAGTGCAAAAGTAAAATTTAAATTTATCCAACAATAAGAATTTTTTTCTGTTCAATTATTAAAATGCAGAATGTCTTTTCCTTATGTTATAGAATATGTACACATTCAAAATAATAAAGTATATTGATAGAATATTTTAAAATATTTAATAGTTTCAGCCCTATCAATCTTGTCGTGCCTCTTATCAACCTCTTTTCATGCATTTTACACTGAGCATTATTCTTTCCATTCCATAAAAAAGTGCTTCCACGTGATTTCTCTGGCATCTCTAGTCTGTCTGCTTCAGTTGGGGTGTGGAAGGTGGTACAGTTTCTTGCACTCTGAGACAAACTGATATGGATGCCTGTCATGAATTTATAATGAATTCAAACAAAATAAGCTGTAATTAATTTATTTTTTAGCATTTACCATATATAAAACAGTAACCAGTCTAAAGACAATTGTAAAAGCACAATTTTTATAGCTTAAAAGAAGACAAACCTACTGAACAATAAATAGAGGAACAGATACTAATATAACAAACAAATACCTTATAATTAATAAGGTACCAAATACCTAATATTGATTAATTGGGCCAGCCTTAGTGACACCACATAATGAAGAGGGCATGACAGGTCATGACAGATTCCCAAAGGGGTGCCATCCCCCCTCAAATCGAGCCCTGTCAATAGGGCTCTAATTGCCATCCTAACATGTCATCTTGTTGAGTTATCTATGCCAGATCAAAGTATGTTCGAGAACATACTTCTCTATGATGAGACTCGAGCTCAGCATTCGTTCCTTCATTGATTACAGCCTCTAAAAGAGACAAAGGACACAGTCGCAAGGATCATTTAGCCAGAGCGCTGTTCCAAAGCAATTTACCGCCGCCTCTACTTTCCCTCTCATCACACGACCCCAGTTAGAATCCCCCTCTCTCTCTTTGTGATGTGAAATTAATTGTGCGCATCAAAAACAAACCAACAGTAATCTGTTTTTAATTGAAAGCGGGTGTCCGAGGCCGCAGGGGCAAGAGCTGTTCTGAATGAATCGTCCACTTTGTTGACTAAAGGGATTGTGGGTATTATGGGAACTATTTTAAAACCTTAACTGCCTTGATTATGGACTCACGAAAGTGGATTGTATATCACTAAAGAACTATCAAAATTCACTCACCCAGTAAAGAGACCTCTAGTTCATGCCCCCTGCCATGCTTCATTTGATGTTGTCTCTTATTTACCCACCTTGTACCCATAACTAAAAATAAGCAATGGAAATATATTTACATCTCATTTCGAAATGTGTTTATCTGGCATATGTTTGGCATATATTTGGCATATATATGTTAGGCATGACTGATATTTATGCAATATCAGGCTATATTGATGGCTTGCTGATTTATTGGTGTCAGAGATGAAACTATAACTAAAAACTAAACCTTTTTTTAATTAATTAACTCCTACTATTTTTGGATGCTGTATTGCTGAGATTTGAAAGCACAATCTCCTTGAAATAAGGGCTAAACTGTACACAGCTATGCCTATGTGGAACCCAACAGAGTCATATGTTACATTTATTGCTAAAAGAACTAATTAAAAATGAGCAAAATAAGAGCTAATAAACAGAAACAAAACTGTAAAGATTTCTGGTCCCCAGTACTACAATATGTATATTATTTCATACTGTGAGTTTCTGTTGTTTATTTGAGCTTAAGAAGACAATTGAGAATGGTGTACTAAGGATGTGTACTTTTTTACACTCAACAAAAATCAACAAAGCATGTCATTTGACCAGGGGTGCTTAAACTTCCGCATATAACTATATATATATATATATATATATATATATATATATATATATATCTATATATATATATATATATATATATACATCATATTTCAGTCACAAAGAATCCTCTTAACTTACTCTGTGTCTGCTTACATGCAGATTCTATTAGAAGTTCCCACCAGGAAAACAACAGAAATAGAGCGTTCCTTAGGCAGCCCCCAGTTTAAAGAATGGTAGATTAGGAGTTTATTGAAAATGTCCTTAGTGTAATGAATAGCTTTAGGCCCAGTATCCATATTCTTCCTTTTTTTCTTCTTTTTCGTAGTCTTTCCTCCCTCCCTGAAGAAGCCTTCATTGGGGAGTTAGTGCAAAGATGAGTGATGATGCCATAGAGTAAAGCTATCTATCCTCTGACCATGATCAATAAGTGCAATAACTGCTCACACACCCATTTACTTTCCTGCTGTATGAATGCACTTTGTGTATGTGGTGGTGCTGGTGTGTGTGTGTGTGTGTGTGTGTGTGTGTGTGTGTGTGTGAGTGTGTGAAAGTGGAAGATGAGAACATGTGTCCTCTGGCTTTATTTGCCATTGCAGTGCAACTAAAGTTTCCAGCGCTGTAGCGGAGGGCTATCAATGTGTTCCTCATCTGATCTTTGAATAATGGTGTACACCACTGTTTAAAAGTTTAGAATCACTACTTTTAACAATATATAAACAAATTTATTTGTAGGTTCACTTACATCCTATTATATATTGTAGACACCCCTTCTAATTATTGATTTCTGCTTTCTACTTTAAGGTGTGTTTATCGCTATATACTAGAGCTGAATGACTTGGGGAAAATATCTAACTGCAATTTTTTTTCTGACCAGTATCTATGTTCTGTAAGCTGAGGTCCAGGCTTGTTCGTTATTTTGTCCAAGCAAACCAGAATGTCCTCTTGCAAGACTGCCTATTGTTTGTGCATGCGTATGTAGACAGCACATCGGTGTTTGGTTGTTTCTGATTTAACTCATCTATAGGCAGTTCACAAGCCATTTCACACAAAAAAATTGCACTCTTTCAAATTGCAATATTGATATAAAAAGATTAATCTTTGAGCCTGAGCTGATACAGGTGTTCAAATGCCTACAATAATCAAATATAATACAATATATTCTCCATAGAAAAGCATTGCTAGTACAATGGGATCTTCCAGGGCAGCTGCACATGAGCCTAAGGTCACCATGCCCAGTGCCAAGCATCAGCTGGAGGATTATAAAGTCCCCCCCCAGCGGTGGAACTGCATTCTCTGCGATGGAGCTCCATTCAATACCGCCCAATACCTGACATCGTTAATGCTCTTGTGGCTGTATGCAATAAAATCCTCACAGCAATGTTCCAACATCTACTTTAAAGCCTTTTCATGAGAGTAGAGGCAGTTACACCAGTAAAAAGGGGGGCTAACTCCTGTTAAAACCCTTGATTTGATTGGACATTTTAGTGGAAAGTGATCCTAATATGAAGCCAGTATTCTGTAGCTTAATAGGTTTCAACTAATTTCAAATTTTTAGAAATTTTAGGTATGTTGAGAATTAACAACTCTACAGATGATTCCATAAAGCTATATAACATCTGAGAATCAATTTCTAATAAAATGAATATCCAGAATGCCTCACGTTTGAAAAGTGATGAGATCTTGAGGCACATAACCTGATAAAATCCTTTCTAAAAGCTTCCTGTTCTTCTAAGTTAACTTAAAATGTTGCATAAAACATCTATAAACACCTTCTGATTTGCAATACAGTCTACACTGTATATGTTATTATTAAATAAAACAACCATGGTTAAGGTAATTCTAAACTTATCAGCTGTAGTGTATACAAACCATCAATGCTTTTTTTAATGCCTGGTTTCTCTTACCTGTGTCATCAGTGAAGCCGCTGCCTCTGTCTCCGCTGGAGCCTCAGTCCTCCACACTGGTAGGTGGAGCTGGTGAGCGGCAGGCTCTGGAGCTCCGGGTTCGAGAGGTGGAGGAAGAGAACCGTGCGCTGAGGAGAGAGCTGAGCCAGCCGCCCAGAAACCCCACCCACACCAACCACCACGGCAACGGTCGCCATGGCAACCAGTCACACGCCCCAGTTGTTCGAGAGGGGTCAAGGCATGGCGAGGCTCCAAAAGGCGCCGCCACAGGCAACAGCTCCGACTGTGTTTCTCAGCCTGTGGTGGACAAGTGTGAGGTCAGTCTCATTTAACACTTTCACAACTAAATTCCTAAAGTGCTAGTTTCTGGAAATTACAGGCTTGCACTGTTGTGCCATGCAGTAACAATGTGAATTAGAAAGCATTAGGGAAAGTGGCCCGCCTGCATCTTTACACTACTGTAGTAAGCCTTCCAGCCTTCTTATAATTTCAGACACTATATATATATATATATATATATATATATATATATATATATACACTACATAGACATATATGTATATTAGGGGTGGAAATCTCTAGGCACCTCACAATTCGATTCGATTACGATTCAGAGAGCTGCGATGTGATTATAAAACGATTATCGATGCATCTTTTTTTTCTATATAGCGTTTATATTTTCTCACTGTGTGAGCTCAAGTTTCGAGTTCAAGTTTCAAGTTTATTTGTTATTTGCACAACATGTCAGGACATTTATGCATTGAAATGCTTGTGGTCAGACTCAGCTAATCACTCTACAGAAAGTAAATAAGTAAAAATAAAAATACAAGAAAAACCAACTGAAATATATTAAATATACACAAAATATACACAGAATATAGAGACAATATACATTTTAAAGTGACTAAGTGACTCTGTGTTATTGTTATTTAAAGTGACTTGGTACTTTTAAAGCAAAGTATTTGTAATGATCCATAATGAATTTACTTCCAATATCTTTTTTAATAAATCAAATGGAAGTGATGTGGCAACTGAACTAGAAGGCTCTCATTCAGTGCTCTCGTTTGGAGCACAAGAAGCTGCTGCTACTCATCTGCAATACAATGCGCAGTTACGGTGAAATAAGATCCAGTGGTGATGGACGTCCACGCAGCACATGTTACAGCTATTCTACCCGTTTTCTTTAGTGATTTTATAACTTCGGTTTTGGTCTCGTTGTAGAGACGGGGGGATCGCTGTGTCAGTAAAGTATCTTTGAGACAGGACGTGTGCAGCATAGCGTGAAAGCCTTGTTTCGCAAAAAAAGACTGAGAACCGCCGTGCAGACTGCAGGTCACATAGCAGCGATGCGTTATTCACATATATAAGCAGCGCAGTTGGTTTCCTGGTACGTTAAATCTGCAACGAGAGACTGTCAAACACTAAAAAATGCCGAAGCTGAAGTCGCTTCTCTTTCGAATTCTCCCGTTCCACCTTAAATGGTGCCGCATTTACATTCGGCGCCTCAGTTAGAATTTAAGGTGGAACCGGTAAATTCGAACAAGAAGCTGGAGAACAAGAAGCGACTTCAGCCTCGTAAAACAATCGAACGTTGAGAGACATTTAACTGATCAACTTCTGAGGAAAAGTTTTCTGGCGTAGATGGAAGGAAAGCGGCTGAAGCTGAGCTAAAGCTTAAAGCAGAGCGAAGTAAATCTGCGTTTTCGTTTATATTGTTTAGCCTATACTAAGACATTAACACATACTGGACATTAAATGTTGCGGCTCCCAAGGTGGTTTGATTTTTGTTGAAAGGACAAAATGGCTCTTCTTATCATTTGTGTTGTGACTCCTGATCTAACCTGGCTTTAACGCAGAGGGAGCCGGTCGGATTTCTCACTCATCCAGTTGTTTTTGTTATGTGCCGCCACAGACTGTCCGGGCGCTGCACTTTCCCACTTCCAAGTTCCTCCTTTTGCGTTCCTTCAACATTACGTTATAAATGAAATATTTAGAAAATCGAATTTTGACATTTGTGAATCAATTCAGAATCGTTCACGTCCGCATCGCGATACATCTAAGAATCGATTTTTTCCCGCACCCCAATGTATGTGTATATATATATATATATATATATATATAATATAATATATAATATATATATATATATCAGTATGCAAACAGTGTGTAGTAGACTGTTTTGACACACACACACAGCCAAAGAGTTTATTTCTTAGGCAGAGCCTTATTTTAGCCACAGCCCTGGCTTCTCGGAGCAAGAAGTGAGACTGCATCCCTGTCTCTTGTGGCCACATGGTGAGCAGTTAGATCCCATTGTGTTGAAGTAAATGTGTCTCAAAGTCTGAACATCAGTGTGGAACATTAAGAATTGTCACTGTTTCTGCAGTTAAGTAATCTTTTTTGTGTTTTAAAGAAAAATATTATAATTTTATGTGTGTACAACTGTTCAAACCTGTTTTAGCTAGTCATGTACTGGCTAGCGTTTTTGAGTTGCGCTCAAAGTTAGATAAAATTGTTACTAAACATAGATATAATTTGACTCAATTTGACTCAGTTATATCTGAGTTGCCAGTTTATTAAATACTAGGGATTCATGATGATATCAAGTCGCTATCACAAGATAGTTGCTTAACATTTTGTCAACCCCCCTACTACCCCACCCATCAATGGAAAGTTTACCAAGGGGCCTATGACAAATGACCAGATATTACTTGGGTGAGGGACTGTTCTCAGTACAGCAGTGACACCAACATGGTAGTGGCATGATATTGTGTGTTGTACTAGTATGAGTGTATCAGGCACAGCTGTGTTGCTGGAGTGTACTGGCAACACAATACAAATACAGTGATGTGTGAATGGAGTATTCAAGCAGAGTTGATAGTGAAATTCAAACCCAAAATCTCATCAAGATTTAAACAGAGGCTGAGCACTGTTCCCTTTAGTAGAGCTTTGCAGACTCAAATTGGTGCTTAGTGTTCAGAGACTTGCAATAATACAGTACTGCTTAAAGGAACTCCTCTGTCTGCTTTTAGATATGCTAGTTCAACTTAACGCATGAATCTCTCTCTTTCTCTCTGTCTGTCTCTTGTTCCTACTCTTCCTCTCTCCAGACGATTCATATGGCTATAGTGTGTGCAGGGTACAATGCCAGCAGAGATGTGGTGACGCTGGTGAAATCTGTCCTGTTCCACAGGTAAGATGTTTATTCCATTGTCATTACTGTCCTAAGGCATTCTAAATGTCCAATATGTAATGATTGTTGTTTAATGTCTGTTTATTGTATAATTGAGAGTGATTAAAATTGTTGGTATGAGGTTTACTGTGACAGAGGGAGACCAAGGAGTTTCCAGCACAGTCAGACAGTAATTTAGGCTTGAGAGAATGTGCACTATACTATCAACTAATCATGGCCATTGATGACTGACTGATAATATTGATAGTATGGGAGTAGCGAGACCTGCTTTCAAAAGCAAAAAAGGACTACTTTGCCATGCCACCAGCACACCTTTGGATTTGATATCTAGACCCTATAGACCCTATAGACCCTACCATTGTACATGTTGGAGGAGAAATGGAGAGTCATCAGACAGGCAATGGTTTTCCAATGTTCAGTTGTCCAGTTTGTATGAGCATGCACACACTGTAGAGTCAGATTCTTGTTCTTGGCTGAGTGAGTGGTCTCAATGTGGTGTTTTGCTGTTGTAGCCCATCCACCTCACATGTCAACATGTTGGGCATTCAGAGATGCTTTTCTGATTGCCACTGTTGTAAAGAACTTAATTGAGTTACCAAAGCCTTCCTGTCAGCACCGTGCAAGCATGTTTTCAGAAAGAAAAAGCGGTGAATACTGACTGAGAGACTACACCTTATTTACAAACTGCAAATTCTCTTTATCAGTATCTGTGGCTGTTTTGTTCAGTAAGCTCTTTCAGCTTGTCAGGTTAGGTGGTAATAGCACAGAGAAGCTGCTTCAACCATTCTTAGAAATGTGTAAGCTACCTTTGTTCTTGCTGTGTTTTGGTAGTTCTTGGTGTTGTTTGGTAGTTTTTGCTATAAGTTTAATAGACTGTGTGTTTACAGCCTTTCTGTCGTTTCTTGTTAAACCCTTAAAATCCCAGGCTTATGACTAAGGTTTAATATTCAGTAACTACAGCGACTTAAGTGAAAGCTGTTGGAGCTATATTTAGTTTATAGAAGTGTGTAATAGAACTTTGGGCCCACCGGCGGGCCCTGACCATTTAAGGGGTTAAAATAATAAAACTAGCTAAATCTTACCATTTGAAGTTAGCCTGTCGGGTAGTGTTACTGTAACTGTTCTTTACTGTTTTATTTATGATCTGTTATTGTAGCTTATCTTTTTTTGTTCGTATTAATTGTAACGTAACCACGACACCAATAGATGAAATCTATCAGCAATCTATGATTGTCAGTCGGCTTAAGCCTACAATGGCCTGTTCTATTCTATTCTATTCTATTCTATTCTATTCTATTCTATTCTATTCACCTATAGTACACTGTATAGGGCTCTTACAGAAGTTTCTCTGTTGCCCTGTTTAGGTTGCAGTATCCTGTGGTGTATTTTTAACCTCAACTGCAGTGGCATGAAGCCAAAAACAAAACTGGTGCCATGTCATCAGCTGTAGGCAACTTTAGTGTCTCTTCATTTTCTGCAAGATCAGCAACACACATGCACACACTCTCTCTCTCTCTCTCTCTCTCTCTCTCTTCCTCTCTCTCTCTATGCTGGCCTCGCTGTTGTCCTCTCCTTACAAATCTGAATATGCTTCTCTCACGACTGCAGACTGTTGCCTGGCAACGTAACCTCCATGAACTTCAGCTCTCATCCAATTTCTCCTCCTCTTCTCCCAAACAAAGTCCCACAGTGTAGAGAGAGAGAGAAAAGGAGAAAGAGAGAGGAAGAAAGAGGAACTGAGGGAGACACAGAGAGATAGAAACTGAGGCAGAGAGAGAAGGAAAGACAGAGGAAGAGACAGATAGAGGGGAGCATGAGAGATAAAGAGAGCAAGAAAGAGAGAGGGGATGAGAAAGAATGGAGAGGGGAAAAAGGGAAAGCGAGGGAGACAGATAGAAGGAAAGAGAGAGAAGGAAAGGCAGAGAAAGGAAACTTAACGAAAGGAGAAAAAATAGAGATGTGGAGAGGAAAGAAAGAGAGAGAAGTAGGTAGAGAGGTAAAGAGAGTGGAAGGAAAGAGAAAAAAAGATAGAGAGGAAGAGAGAGAGAGTGGACAGAGAGAGTAGGAGAGAGAAAAAGATGGAGAGAGAAAGAGGTAGAGAGTGAAGGGACAAATGGAGAGAGAAGGGACAGAGAGAGAAGGAGAAAAAGGAACAGAGAGAGAAGAGAGAAGGGACAGAAAGAGAAAGGAAATGAGAGAAGGAACAGAGAGAGAGAGAAAGAGAGTGGGAGAAGGGACAGAAAGAGAAAGAGCGAAAGAGAGAATGGATGGAGAGAAGTTGAAAAGGAACAGAGAGAGAAAAGAGAAGGAAAGAGGGAAAGAGAGAATGGACAGCGAGAGAGAGAGAGAGAGAGGAGGGACAGAGAACAAAAGATGGAAAGAGAAGTAACAAATGGCGAGAAGGAACGTACATAGAGATAGAGAGAGTGGGAAGGATAGAGAGAGGTAGGGATAGAGAGAGGGAGGGATGTGCACTCGGCTTGCTGTGTGATTTAAACTGTATGAAAACTGTATGAAAAAGTTTAAGCGCCCTGTCTGTGGCTGGCCTTTGTCATGTGAAGCAGCTTCATGCATGTGTGGTAAGGTTGTGTATGTGGCAAGGATGCGTGTGTGGTAAGGTTGCGTGTGTGGTAAGGTTGTGCATGTGCTAAGGTTGCGTGTGTGGTAAGGATGTGTATGTGCTAAGGTTGCGTGCATAGTAAGGTTGCGTATGTGGTAAGGATGCATGTGTGGTAAGGTTGTGTGTGTGGTAAGGTTGTGCACTGTTGCAGATGCCAAGCTTCCTAAAGATTCGAGAGACATCTGGAGATCATGATTTGAGATAAAATATTCAGTTTGAATCTGAAACCTTTGAGGAGGTTTTAACAAAGGCCATGTAGTCTTCAGATACTTCCTACCTCTGTGTTTCTGTGCCTGGTAAAACCTTGAGCTGCTTTGGAACTCTGAATACGTTTTCATTTCTTTTCATGCAGACTTTTTTTATTTATTTCCATCTAGCAGGTATGCATTTTCTGCCCATAAAAGTGCTGCACTCTGCTGTTATTTACATCTTCTGAATTTAAATGCTATGTATTAAAGACTGGTGGAAATAGGCCTGTCTGTCTGTTTGTTGTTTATCTGTTTCTCTCTCTCTCTCTCTCTCTCGTCCTGTATGCAGCCGGCGAGCATTTCTTTTCATGCTGATTGTTCTAGCACCCTTTCACAAATGATGAACCGTCATTATCCAATCATTTTTATGCAGTCCAATGATGATATAGAGGAGAACTCTAAAAAACTGACAGTCAACCAACTCTACTCTGAATGAGCCCTGCTGGAGAATTCCTTTAATTTGGATTGAATGATTGCACATTTGCAGTTCTTCAAACATGATCCAGTTTTCTCCTCTCTTCAAAGACTGGGAAGGGCTTTGATCTTTTCATTATCTAACCCTGTTTACCCTGTCTGCGTCATCTGGACAGCTCAACCAATGCTATATATGTCTTTAATTCAAATGACATTAAAGTGATAGTTGGGCCAATACAGCTTTCCTGGTAACATTTATTTGAAGATGAGGGCTTCATAACACATGCATAAGCCTTGAAAAATGTATTTATAAAACACTATTTTTATATATATGCCTGTGATTGCAAGATGACGTAAAGTTTTATGAAGCCATTAATATTGTATTGACTTAAAGCGGCCATAAGCATTAATAGCATGTGTGTAAAGCAGTATGTCTGCATTTCTAAACAGCTTATGACAGTAATCATAAAATGACATAGAATGTTTAATGAAGTAAATGACATAATGGGCCTTAAACTAAAGTGGTCCATGATCCATTATAACACTGTTATTAAGCATCATTTCAAAATAATGGAACTTAAAAGGCAAGATATCCGTCCTATGGAAGATCTCAGTGCCTATAAACTGTGTAACATAACTTGCACAGGCCATTTTGTATGTTTTAATATGTTAATTTTAGCAAATAAACAGTAATTGTGCATAGAAATATGCAGAATTGTGTTCTCTGAACAGAATGTTTTAACATATTTTCACATGGAAAATCAAGAAAACGTCTAAGTTGACCAGGGGCGCTCAAACCTTTGCAGATGACTGCATGTGTAAAAGACAACACACCTTTTTTGACCAAGAATGCGTTTTTTATCCATGCAACGTACTTCTGCAGTCTATTTCATTTTTAGAGATACCATAATGTCATACAGCATCAGAAACGACATAAGCAAGTCTATTTGAGATTCACCTCAACACAGTTTGTGATAAGTGTGTGGTGATTTAGGCCGAGGGGATTAAACCCATAATGTAACACCATTACTTACTATTTTGTTCAAGTTTGCATGGTGCTAATTTGTGAGGTATAAGCTTTTGTTAGCGTACTTGTTAGCAACATTAGCCTCGTAGCCCCGATGCAAAACAAAAGAAGCAAACTTTGCACACCAGACTTGTCTTGGCTAACCTGCTATATTTGGGGTAACTCAACTAACCATTTAGCTGCATATTTGATAAAAGGATAATTGACACTTTGACCTCTTCACTTAATTTGCAGTCGTGTGTTCCTTGTTCAGAAATCTGTTCACTCCTTCTGCTTATGAGTGGTGTATATTATAGTCTCCTCCCCCAGCCCCCCTCCATTAGCACAGTAAGCTGCAGGTATTGAGCTATTGAGTCAAGCCCTTCCAACCAAATGGAGCGTGTAAGACGGGTATGACATGACATAAACTGAGATTAGCCTCCAGTGTATAATTCCGCATAATGGGCTTACTTTCTCTGTCTGAAAATAATGCACTCACAGCAACATTTAGGCATAACAAAGGTGTGTAAGTCTTCCCTTGCATGCACTACAGAATCTAAAAATAATTCGGCCATAATGCCGTTTTTTGCTTGCCTAAGCTTTTTTTTTACTAGAACCCAAAAAAAGTGACTACAGTTTCCCATTTGTCAAATGGTTTAATTTGCCTATATTGGTTCCCTGTGGAACTCTACACTATGGATCTGTGGGTTTT